AATAAGGTCAGAGGTCGAAGAAGAGGAAATGTACCTAGTCGAAGCAGGCCCTCTATGGGTGGGGGAATGGTTTACGGACTACTTGATTTTTCCTCAATGGTCCTGCCGCGATGGCTAGAGCACAGACGATTAGAGAACGGGTGAATGCCCTAGGACTAAGCCTTGGAGAGGAGAGGGACCCGCGAGAGAGCGCAGAGGCGGTTTAAGGGGCTGAGTTCAAGTAGTCCGTCGACCAGGGATGTGCCATCATAACAGCGAAGTTTATGACTTCACCGGTTTTGCAGGAGCGTGATCCGCAGCTTGCGCCGCTACCGATCACAGTAGCACGCGCATGAGATGCGGAAAGCAAACGAAAGGGCTTCGATCTTTCCGTTCTGGGCTCGTCTTTACATCACTGACCACCTCTATCTAGGACCGTATTCATCTTTCCTCTATCATTTTTGAAGACTTCGAAATGTATAACAATGGGCGATTGTCAAGGAGTTCTTTGCTGCCCACCAGCGGGCCATATGGCGACAATTATTTAGTTTCGCGGTCACACTTCGCAAACGTTTTATAGTTAGCTTGCACTTCGGGTGAAGTGGGCAAGTGCCTATCTCCCGATCATGTCGCTATTAGACTGCATGTGGTAGTCGTCGCAATCTCAGTTAGACTAACTCTCTGGGTTAGGCTAACTCCTTTGTCATCTTTGTTCTCATAACTCCATCGAATATTATTTGTTTCGTTGAATTCCTCATTTTATTATTCTGTCGTTCAAGTTTTTCAAAACTGTCTATCTCGTAGCATTTCTTTTGCTGGGGCGTATGAAACACTGTCTTTTTTTTGTGGACGTCATTGAAAAAGAGGCAGGGGTACAAGGTAGGCGTGATGAGACAAGTAGTTTACGTGAGTCGCCGTCACGGGCCTTGCTGGCTCGCGACTGCATCAGGGTGAATATTGCTTGAGGATTCCTCAACGGCACGTCGAGGATTTTCGCCTGATCCTTTACGTTCTCGCGCGCGGATATTCACTCTCGCCACCCGCGAGCCGTCTGTGCTCTCCGCGCGTACATTCACTCTCGGCACTACTCTCGCACAGCAGAGAGCGATGGTCGAGGAATTCCTCGACCGTTATTCACCCTGGACTGCATTGCATGGCCAAGCGCTGCGGCGCTGGTGATCGCACCATTGCTGGGATCGCAGCCAGGATCAGCAGTGAATAGCGGTCGAGGAAATTCCTCGACCATGGCTCTGTACTGTGTGAGAATAGTGTCGAGAGTGAATGTACGCGCGGAGAGCACAGACGGCTCGCGCGTGGCGAGAGTGAATGTCCGCGGGAGAGCGTGACTGAACAGGCAAAAATCCTCGACGAGCTGTCGATAGATCCTCTACCGATTTTGACCTGATCGCAGCTGCGACCGTTCCTTTAATTCCTTGCATCGAACGTGCAATCTTTTCGAATAGAAAAAACGTATTGAGGGAAGACACTGACCGATTATTGGGATCATGGTGTGAGGATCGTGGTGCACCGCTGAAACTAGGCCACCGCAGTTGTGGGAGAGTTATACCTTTGCTGAGTATCTCGATATGGTTCTGTGTCACGAAGGGAGAAGAGGCACTTCGGTCTAGAGGACCAAACGCTTTCGAAACCCAAACAAACATTTTTTATTCGAAATAACGTCTGAAAAAAGGTCTATTCCAATAACGGGGCACATGGTGAAGTAGTTCATGCCGTTTACAGCAGTAATCTCATTTTTCATAAGAAGGAAGCCCCAAAATGGGTCCTTTTATTAATACTCTTTAGGCCCTGAATCACGTCAAAGGTGCATGGGATGGTTTTCGCTTCCCCGAAGTCCTCCTAGTTCTTGCCAGGGAATGAAAAATGGGTTCACCAGATTCACAAATGCATCTTCGCACGATTCAACTAAAACTGTCGTGCTATAGCAAAAAAACAAGAAAAAAAAAAGAAAAATAGACTAAAGAAATGGGTTGGTAGAAGCCACTAGCAGCTCGTAAATTTGAAGGGTTACTTGAGCGACATTGTCACGTGAGCAGCTCACACGAATGGTTGCCCACTGATTGGTAGAACACTTAAGAAAGGGTTTTTTGGTTCTCGGACTGAAACGATACGATGTTTTTGGATTACTAATCGCGTAAACTTTATTGGAACTCGTTCTTCGCAATGACTACCATTCTGATACGGATGTCAGTATGTATATTCCGCTTTGAAGTTCTTTGCCATCACTCCGTGCTGGTTGTTTGCGACACATGCGTACACTCCTTGGTCACCCATTGTTGCCGGATCTGAATCATGAAATTTTTCGGATGATGTCAGTCCTCAAAAATAAGCACGAACAGTTTATGAACTCGTTGTGTATTGCCAGGCTCGATGTCAGGTTTGCGCGAATCTGATTATCCGCAAGTCTGACATTGGCCTAAATGGTGGCAGGAATGGCGTAGTGCAAGGTTAACTATTGTGTTTAGAACAGTCTGAGGTAGGGATGTAAACACATCCTGGAGGTCTTGCTCAGATGACTCCCAGCATCTACATTCCAATTTTAAAAGCTCATCGGGCAGGAAGAGGTGTGAAACTGCTGCATTTGCAAGGAATGTAATACCCAGTCCTTTGAACCAGATAGGACCTCCCTCCAGCAAATCACAATAAGACCTCATAGGTCTAACATATCTGTGATTGATTCGGAGCAAAGGAACCCTTAAGCATAAGATAAAATCGCAATATTATCAAAATGATGAGTCACGTCGATCAACAAACAGTTGCGTTAAAGTTTTGGAATGAGGAATCCCGCTGGTGCTTGGAAAGGTGGTGGAACGACACAAAGGGGGAACGTGCCCGTTAGGCATCAGAGGTGCGCGATGATCAATGCAAGGCCACAAGGTTGGGCAAGACCCATGCCTGCTTCTAAGCTTGGGCTTATCCTTACACATTTTCTTATGCTCAGGCCTCGAATTAGGCTTAGGTCTAATCTTAGACCTACTACGAGCAAATGAGAGATCCTGATCAGAGGTAGACAGACCTGACCGGGAGAACCAACATTCGCAGGGGAGGTTTTCAGTTCTTAGCGCGGGCGTTTTCACTCCATCATCTGTTTTTATTTTTCGAACACCATATGTCGCCGTCGACGCAGCTAATTGTCGAATGAGGCGGAAAGGATATGAGTAGTAGCAGAGACGGTCAAACAGGGAATTGATTTGGCTCGAATTATGGGAGTATTGGGCGAAACACTTTACTGTTTCTCTGAATATGAGTATATCGGATCTAGTCTGAGGCTTGTTAGTCGTGAAATGAACTTTCAATAGGAGTTTCTCCTAATTTTGCTACGCTTTTTATTCATAGGTCTTACCTATTTCCAATTTGCTCCAGAGCATATCCTCAAATGCGCGATCTAGGTTAATAACTTACAGTCAATTACTTAGATCATACAGTGATACAGACCCAGTCCTGACGACAGCATGAATCACACAATTCCCTTCAGAGTTCGGTCGAAGACAATTAGGTGCAAACTAAGGGTCACACCGTTCCGCTTTGAGTAAGGTTATCTTAGAGCGAAGAGCGTTTTGTTGGCGAAGAGGGAAGGTCCGTATTTGAAATTCATCAAGATATAAGCAATCTATGGAGAAATGCGAACGGGGCCCTAGGCGTTGAAGCCATCATGGTTGCAGAAGAGGGTGATGGCTCGTTTTTGCTGGGTTTTTGACGATTTTGGCAAGAATTCACTAATAAAGGTGTGAAACAGGGGACAATGTGAGGATCTTGCATTCATTTCGCGCTATTGAGGTGGTGGATGCGAATCGATGGAGTGGTAATTCGCCAGAACAGACAGTGACTTTAGCCGGCGAATCGTTTTTGCTGGCGAACGAATCCCTGCGTCCGTCGTATAGAGGAACATGGAATCAATTCTTTTGAGCTTCCATAAACGGAAAAGTTCGCATCTGCGAGAGCGTAAAAAACTTGCGCCTTCGCTAATGCGAACCACGCGCCGAACTACACCAGTATCGAAAAGAGACAGGAAAGGTCGTGAAAATTTTTGGAAAAAAAATCAACGTTGTGGTCAACCGTGGGTGCAATCAACTGCAGAATGCCAGATCTTGCTTCCAACAGTTCACTCCAAAATAAAATGCTGTAATCTAGTTTACCGCCAAAACTAACCATTAGTGAAGTCCTGCACATGTCTTGAAAGGTTTTTGTTAGGACAGCTGTGTTCCTGAATTACCGACAGGAAACGTGACGATAGTGTGCACACCTCGCAGTACCACGGAAACACGAGAGCTTGGGGGCGATAGTGAAGCAGTCGATTCCGTATTTTCAACCATTCCGCACGATTCACTTTCCATCGTCGATTCTTGCTGAAATAGCGCTGGTTTCGTACTCTAGAACGCTTCTAAATAACCCGCGAAACGCAAATTTACGCCTATGCACATCTGCTTACTCCATTCATTTAGGCTACCACAAAAAAGTCCCTGAAGTCTAATAATGTCCGCAAAACTATTATTTACAGGGAAATTGAAGCCTCAGCATCTGAAGTTACCGATGTTCATTAGGCCCTTAACTCATCACATCTGCTCGCCTACGTAGTGGAACTTAATAAACTAAGAAAAAATGAAGTAATACAACTCATTTTGATGCAAAGCAAAATCAAACTAAATATTACATGGAAGCTGTACTAAGGGCAACTGCACCGGAGCTGTAGACTCATGTGAACCTTGCAAACACTGCCACGACCAGTGAAACCGCTCATTCTATTACACTAAAGCTTTGAATCAATAGCTTCATCACTGCTCAGCGAGACTTGATAACTTCTCGAAATCACTTTTTGTTTGCTATTTCCTCTCTTGAAATTCCTATCGATTAGATGAATATCTTGTTAATCAGCTGACATGACACATTCGCTTTCAAATTTGTTACGACTAAAAATATAGCAACATACTTACGATTCAACAATCGATCGAAGAGATGGATGTAAGTACTGCAAGTATTTCTTAGGCACATCAGTGATCTTCCGTATGCGAATCTTCCTCCTCTTCATACTTGTCGCTCTGCAACACTTTGTCGACAGTCGCGGAGGTCGAAGAGGAGGGAAGGGCAAAGGGAAAAGCAATCTGCAATTTGCACAAGTAGCCGAATTCTCATTAATTCAAACACAACTCGCCGACAATCGGGTAAGCATTCTTGATTAGCATGGACTTAACCCTACCACAAACTTTTTCTCCTAGTTATCATTACAAAGCATCCATTTACAAGTAATCAGAGGACTCGAAATATATAGATCTTGGGTGTGGTTCATTAGGACAGAAAGCGACTTTTTCGCGTTTCGCGAAACATTGTTCGTTGCGGGAATCTCGGGTCCACTGATGATTCGCTGCGGGAACCTCGGGTCCACTGATGATCAGCGGTGGACCTGAGGTTCCCGCAGCGGAAAATGTTTCGCGCTGCGAAACGCGAAAAAGTCGCTTTCTGTCCTAGTGAACCACACCCTAGAGTCTTTCATACCTCAAGGTGAAACTTGCAGCAAAAAAATACAGAATACATGGCAGATTGAGTGCAAGCATAACACAAAGGAAACAGGATGATTTTTTGGGTAATAACACTCAGCATCGGAGAGCGAAGCTGAGTTTTGAACACTTATTTGGGCGCAATCGCAATATGTATACTAGGACATCCTCTGGGACTGAGTCCACAAAGGGGCAAGAACTTCTAGGAGAATGAAAATGGCGACTACCCTGGAGCAGGGTCGGTCCTATCGTTGTTACTTTTTCAAAAATTTTTACGACCCCCCTCCCCCAAGGTGGACTTGATACGACCCCTTTTCGACACCTCGACCACCATCATCCTATCTATAGTATTTAATTCTGGTACCACTCAACCCACCAAACTCCGCCCACTTTTTCCTCCAAAAATTGCCGTCGAGCGGGGTCATATATAGCTACGTGCGTGAAACGTCTGAAACGGCGAATTTTTCTCCCGCGCGCTCCCAACTCCCAACCTATACGACCCCCCCCCTCCTACAAACTCAACCAGGTACGACCCCCGTTGTTACTGGTAACAACGTAGGGTTGACCCTGAGGTCAGCGTGCGTTGAGGAATCCTCGACACGTCGCAGGGGGGGGGGGGGTCGTATTGGCCCGCTGGGTGGAAGAGATCGAGCCATTTTGATGCAGTGGGATCATCACCGTCGGAAGACAAATATCAAGGATGAGTCGATGCCAGGCCAGAGGATTTCCAATGAAAATGATATTTCACCCACACAAAATTTTCGTGATTCTGAGGCGTCCGGTAATTCTTAGTTACTTCAGTGTTTTATCACCACACAAGTTAAAGAATCTGAATTTCGCACGCTTTCCAAGAGATATTTCATCTTTCAAGTAAGACCCCGAATCTGAAGGGATGTGAGGTACACGGCGCATCCGAGAAAGGGTCTAGTTGTTGCGCGCGCTTCAACTACGGCTCCTTGGACAAACAACCAATTCAGGAACAATCGAGAGAATTCTGAAAGTGTCCGTGCGCATTTACAGGGAGGTGTACACCATTCAACATTGCGTTAACGGACTCTTCAGGGGTAAATTTATAAACATGTAACCTTTAAAGTTGAGAAACGCTAATCAATCACTTTTCTTAGAGAGAAAAGCAGTGATTCCAAATCTGCTCTTACTTTAGTACATAATCGCCCTTAAAAGGATATACAGCCGTTGAAATAGTGCCAATGTAGCGAAAAAGTACCTTTCGGCGGTACTCGTGCGAAAATCCTCAACGTAGCCGTTTTTTTAATACTGGACGTTTGGAGCAGTTCTAGTAAGCATTTGATAGAGCAAATCTTCTAGTTTATGATGGCGTATTTACTTTTCGGATTGGATGAGTTTGAACGGAGTTATGGCTTTAGGAAGTAAAAAAACTCGCACTCATCACAAATTTTCCTCGTTAATTTTTGCAAAATCCTCAACGTGGCCATTTTTTGAATACTGGACGTATAGAAGCTGCTTTAGCAACGGTTTGAGAGAAAATCTTCTAGTTTTGTCTGCCATATTAACTTTTCGAATTTGACGAAAATGAAGCAAGTTGTTGCTTCGGAAAGTGTAAAAACTCGTGCTCATCTCGAATTTTCCTCGTTAATTGACCTAAATTTGTTATTTCTTATAACTTTTTGTAATTTCAATACTGATTAGAAAAAGCTCTTCACAAAACTTCCAAATCTGCTTTCAGATTGAAAATTCGTCATATTTGAAGAAAGTTATAATCATTTGAATATTTGTTCAAATTTCAATCTACTATATATAATTCGCTAAGTATGTCTGTGTGTGTGTGTGTGTGTGTGTAGTCTGTGTGTGTGTGTGTTTGTCACGAAATTCGTAGCTCGGGTCACAGCAACGATAGCGCGCATGGTTCTTACATATGTTATAGGGGGTGGGATGGGGACTCAAGTGGTACGTGATAGGAACTGATAACGACTGATAATAGCTGATAAGAGGGGCTAGAAAGCGAGCATCGCCAATTTCGTTTTGTCGTTCATATTGGTACTAGAGCGTCTATACTTACAAGTGTTATGTAGGGTGGTCCCGGGACAATGGTGGTACATGAATGGAAGCGATAGCAACTGATAAGGGCTGATAAGGGGCGTCAGAACGCAAAAGTCGTCGATTCCGTTACGCAGCTTGCGTTGACACTACAGCGTCCATACTCGCAGGTGTCATGTGGGGTGGGACGGGGACATTGTTGGTAGGTGATGGAAAGTGGTTACAACTGATAAAGGGCTGATAAGGGGCGTCAGAACGCAAAAGTCGTCGATTCCGTTACGCAGCTTGCGTTGACACTAGAGCGTCCATACTCGCAGGTGTCATGTGGGGTGGGACGGGGACATTGTTGGTAGGTGATGGAAAGTGGTTACAACTGATAAGGGCTGATAAGGGGCGTCAGAACGCAAAAGTCGTCGATTCCGTTACGCAGCTTGCGTTGACACTAGAGCGTCCATACTCGCAGGTGTCATGTGGGGTGGGACGGGGACATTGTTGGTAGGTGATAAGGGCTGATAAGGGGCGTCAGAACGCAAAAGTCGTCGATTCCGTTACGCAGCTTGCGTTGACACTAGAGCGTCCATACTCGCAGGTGTCATGTGGGGTGGGACGGGGACATTGTTGGTAGGTGATGGAAAGTGGTTACAACTGATAAGGGCTGATAAGGGGCGTCAGAACGCAAAAGTCGTCGATTCCGTTACGCAGCTTGCGTTGACACTACAGCGTCCATACTCGCAGGTGTCATGTGGGGTGGGACGGGGACATTGTTGGTAGGTGATGAAAAGTGGTTACAACTGATAAGGGCTGATAAGGGGCGTCAGAACGCAAAAGTCGTCGATTCCGTTACGCAGCTTGCGTTGACACTAGAGCGTCCATACTCGCAGGTGTCATGTGGGGTGGGACGGGGACATTGTTGGTAGGTGATGGAAAGTGGTTACAACTGATAAGGGCTGATAAGGGGCGTCAGAACGCAAAAGTCGTCGATTCCGTTACGCAGCTTGCGTTGACACTAGAGCGTCCATACTCGCAGGTGTCATGTGGGGTGGGACGGGGACATTGTTGGTAGGTGATAAGGGCTGATAAGGGGCGTCAGAACGCAAAAGTCGTCGATTCCGTTACGCAGCTTGCGTTGACACTACAGCGTCCATACTCGCAGGTGTCATGTGGGGTGGGACGGGGACATTGTTGGTAGGTGATGGAAAGTGGTTACAACTGATAAGGGCTGATAAGGGGCGTCAGAACGCAAAAGTCGTCGATTCCGTTACGCAGCTTGCGTTGACACTAGAGCGTCCATACTCGCAGGTGTCATGTGGGGTGGGACGGGGACATTGTTGGTAGGTGATGGAAAGTGGTTACAACTGATAAGGCTGATAAGGGGCGTCAGAACGCAAAAGTCGTCGATTCCGTTACGCAGCTTGCGTTGACACTAGAGCGTCCATACTCGCAGGTGTCATGTGGGGTGGGACGGGGACATTGTTGGTAGGTGATAAAGGCTGATAAGGGGCGTCAGAACGCAAAAGTCGTCGATTCCGTTACGCAGCTTGCGTTGACACTAGAGCGTCCATACTCGCAGGTGTCATGTGGGGTGGGACGGGGACATTGTTGGTAGGTGATGGAAAGTGGTTACAACTGATAAGGCTGATAAGGGGCGTCAGAACGCAAAAGTCGTCGATTCCGTTACGCAGCTTGCGTTGACACTAGAGCGTCCATACTCGCAGGTGTCATGTGGGGTGGGACGGGGACATTGTTGGTATGGTGGTGATAAGGGCTGATAAGGGGCGTCAGAACGCAAAAGTCGTCGATTCCGTTACGCAGCTTGCGTTGACACTAGAGCGTCCATACTCGCAGGTGTCATGTGGGGTGGGACGGGGACATTGTTGGTAGGTGATGGAAAGTGGTTACAACTGATAAAGGCTGATAAGGGGCGTCAGAACGCAAAGTCGTCGATTCCGTTACGTGGCTTGCGCTGACACTAGAGCGTCCCTACTTACAAATTCTATTTGTAGTGGTACGTGCACACTGTATCATTGTATGACCAGCCTACTTAATAGCAGTCTATTGCATGAATTCAATCAAGTCTTCAGCAAATGATAACTTTCGTTCCTATCAAGAAAGCCCAAACTCATTAAACCGCTAATCCTTTCGGGGTTCTAAATAATGGTGAATGTAAATAAATGATAAGCCTTAGCTCTCACTTATGTAAACAGGCATATTTCATTTTCATTTTGAGACTGACAGCAATCCTATTCACCGCTAAATTATCTGAATTCAAGAAGAATGCTGGATGTTTACAGTTGTGAGATAAATACCAGTTCAGCTCCAGACGTTATCACGCGTATTCTCGATGGACTTCAGCGAAACTGGGAAAATCTAACACATTCAATAGTGAGGTGGTTAATGGAGGGCCTCATGCTGATATTCCCATGGGTCTTTCAGTTTCACTAAAGCCTGCCGTGTGATGCGCGCGATAGCGGGCGGAGCAAAACTGGTAGTAAATAAGCTGCTCCACGGTCAACGCCAAAGTCCAGTCAACACACAGCTGGCGAAGGCGGTTAAAAAGCTTCTTTCAACTGAAGGGCTACGTGCAAATTGAGAACCACAATCTGTGTAGTACTAGAATTTGGTAAGTCTTGTGGAGGAAATAAATAAAGGACAGATGTTGTCATAGTATGCCATTTTTAGTGGCTAGTTTGTCGTTTTCTGGTCTGTTTCTCGTTTGCTCGTTTGGTAGGACTCATCAATAATGATTATTCTTTGACTTTTTCACTTTTGTACTTCTTAAACGAATTTTTTTGTGGGCGGTGGGGTAGCAGGGCTTTTTTATGAGCAGTTTTGGGGGAGAATTAAACAAGCTTTTCAACCTTTTCATAGTTCGGCTTTTGAAGAGGGTTGTTTCATGGACTTCGGCCTCCGGCGGAGGGTGGTGGGGGGGGGGTCGTATTTCCAAATTTTCCTCAACGCCTCGCTTGACCCTGGTTGGAAGCTTTCGCTTGGAGGCCTTTCCCCCGCCCAGCAAGGAGGTCTTCCAGGACAAGGAGCGTTTTTTTTTTTCGGAATGGTTTTCCCTGTTTTTGTAGATTCTCATGTGAGGAATACAGAACCATGGTCCATTTTTCCTGAACGCCCCTAGGAGTCTCAAAACAGGGGAGAAGAAATGGTCCAAAGTTCGATCCTCCGTCATGACAAATTTTTGCAATTTATCTTGGGGCCTCCAAAATGCCGCAAAACACGACAATTACATCTACTTCTCGACGATGGAGCCATTTGGCGCAATCTGGGCCGAAAAACTATATTGCAAAAATTAGTCATCACCGGGGATCGAACTCGGGACCATTTCTTCACCAATGTTTTGACATTCCTGGAGGCGTTCAGGAAAAATGGATTATGGTTCTGTGTTCCTCGTATGAGCCCCACAACATGCAAAAAACCGTTTCGAAAAAGCGCTCCATGTCCTGAAAGACCTCCCTTGTAAGATTCAGACCCATTTCTAACAAGAAGGACATGTTTCACGCGATAACAAATGCATTGCCACCACAATGCCTCCACATCCTGCCTCCACATCCTACGACCCCTTTACTTATTTCGGTGGCTACAAAATTCTCAAAAATCCTTTCTTATTGTAGATGTTTTGTATAGATACAAACGATTTTCCATGCATATAGCTTCAAAAAGATAAAGATAATCCCAAATAGTTATCCAATTACAGAGTGCTCATATCGTCACTGGCTCACACTTCAGTCAGACATTTCGCCTTGGATATAAACTGATCATCATTTGCAAAGCAAAAGGGGATCCACGACCGACCATTAAATGGTACAAGGAGGGCGCTGAGCTTCATCCGAAACATAACACTCATGTACGCCTTTTAATAAAAGCTTTCCGTTCACTACAACGAGAAGTTCTTTG